TGTCTTCTGCAAGTCACCTGTGTCATTAAGTTTGGAGGAAGCCGGAGACAGATGGGTTGCAGTCTGTCCTTGGGGATTGCAGTTTCTCCTTCGTCTCCCCAACCTCAGGCCTGGCTTTTCTCCCACGCTGCCAGACCCACCAGCCACACAGGCCATGGCTGGACCCACCAGCCACACAGGCAACAGCAGCTCCCAGAATTGTGTGAGGTCTAATTCTGAGAATAAGTCTTCTAGTCCATATCACAGTTGTTCTGCTTCTCTGATCAAACCCTGACTGCTCCAGGAATTGGGAATGAACGCCTCTGGCAGGCTCGTACAGGTGATGCTCAGTGCAGGCCTTTGGGATGTGGGGGCACAGTCCCTACTGTCCTCTGAAAACAACTATTTTACTTTTCAGAAACTGCTTTTGGCTGTTGATGCCCTAGCAGAGACTGAATGCTTCACCACGGACACCAAGTTGAAGTGCAACCTGAGCTGCCCATCCAGGAGCACCCCACCATCCAATCAAAGCAGTCTGTGTGACACGGGCTCCTCAGGTCTGGAAGATGTAGGGAAGCTGCACCAGCAAGCAGCTTATGTGTCCCTGCCCCCTAGTCCTGCTGCACTGCCCCTTCGCTTAACAGCGATCCACAAGCATGGCCTAATGGTTTGGTTGATGGTCAAGACCTGATAGGAACTTGATTAGAAAACTCATAGCAAACAGCTTGACCTGTGAGCAGACCTTCCACATGGGCACACAACGTGAATACCTGTGTACCAGGGGGAAGCTTAGCAGAGCGCAACTGCAGCAGAAGAGGCTCTTAGCACTCAGGTGAAGCACGTGACCCACTCACAGCACACAAATCCGTCGGCCTCTATCCTGACTTCTTGTCCAGATGGGCTTATGTACAAGTGGCTCTGGTGGCAGGGATGGAGGTTATACATGGAACTCGGCAATGTGGACTCCACTCATGAAGACTCGCCTGCCCCCAGGCACTTCCGAGAGACTGATATGGCCCTCCAGCCCCCCGCCCCAACACCATTTCTGGGAATATCAGCCGGCCACCTGGCAGCAGATTGTTATCACCAGTCCATCATGAGGAGACCATTAAAGTAAATTTGCCTCCTTTCTCCACAGTGCTCCTGCCCAAAGCACCACCCACAGCCTAAGAACACCCTCGTCACCGTCATAGGATGCCACACAGCATTGCCTCCAACCAAGGAGCTCACTTCACAGCAAATGAAGTACAACAAGGGATTTACGCTCAGGAAAATCACTGGTCTGCCACACTCCCAGCCACTCTGAAGGAGCTGACCCAGTAGGCCAGTAGAACGGTTTCTCGAATATTTAGCTCTAGTGCCAGCCAACTGGCCACATCTCGTGGGTAGTATCTTCCAGACCATCTCCGAGCAGTGTATGTTCTGACGCGGTGGTACAGCTTCTCCCATAGCCAGATGTCACAAGTCCAAGAACCAAGGGGTGAGTGGTAGGGGCTCCTCTCACTATTACCACTGGTGATCCACTAACAAAATCTTTGCTTCCCTTCCCTAAAATTTTGGACTCCGCTGGCCTAAGGCAGGATACAGCGATGGTTAAACTGCAAGTGGAAGCCGCCACCCAGGTTCCTCACGCCAGCACACCAACAGGAAAAGAAAGTGGCTGATGCGGTGGCTGGGGTGACTGATCCTGACCGAGAAGAAACTGTCCCCACACAATGGGAATAGGAAGAACATGTCTGGGACCTGGGAGGTCCCCTCGGCATCCCTTTATTCTCCCATGCCCTTATTAACATTAAGGGACAATTACAACCACCCAACACAGAAAGTCCTACTCATGGCCTGGACCTTTCAGAAAAGGAAGTTGGGTCACCTCACCAATAAGAAACTGTGATCGAACAAGGGGTTTGCTCAGGGTGAGGGGAATATGGAATGGGCAGTACAGGAAGTTATAAATACCAGCGATGACCATTGACCAGCTGTAAAGATGAGGACTGAACTTGTCATGAGCTTTTCTCCCTTATTGGGATGTGGATGTATCTGTCCATGTAGATGCTAACTCTCTCCTCCCTCTCCCAGGCTCCTACCATCTAACCTAAGAGGTGCTAACAGTAGTCAACCTTGCATCTCAGAATTTAAGTTATAGGCACTAGAAGAGAATGAGTGTCACCCAAAGGCTGGATGAAGGGACTCTGTATCCTCTTTGGGGAGTTGGAGAGTTTTCCATTATACGGGCAATAGCTGAATCATGTTAGGATCAAGATGATTTTGCTCTTGTTTTTATTGGAAATCCAGGGTGGTTAAAAGAGGTGTGCATGGATACCAAACTGATGCAAGCTAAACTGTGCTGGTTTTCTACTGTATCAACTTAGCAAGGCTGGAATTACATTTCCCCAAATCCTCTTTCTTGGATGATTCTAGGGTAGGGTGACCCCAGGAGAAATTTGGGAGTGCTGCAGAAAGTAGAGAGGTAGCAGCCCATACACTCTGAAGGTCGGTGTGGGGTACCAAGTGCCACTGCAGCTTACCTGGGCTGTGGCTCACCTGCCAGTCCACCTTGCTGGCACAAGCTCCCACAGGGTCTCCTCCCATCTCCTCTCTGAGTCCTGGGCAACATATGTGTGCAGCTCTGGGAGGCAAGTTCCAGCTTCTCCTGCTGGTCACCTGTGCCATGGGGACTGCAGGAAGTAAGCAGCACGGGCTGCAGCCTGTCCTCTCCTCAGTCCTCATCTAGCCTCTCTCAGGCGTCTTCACCAGCTCCTGCAACCGCGTATGGCTCATTCCTTCAACAAATCCTTTACTCCGTGACATGCACAGTGGGTGTGCTTCTCTGAAGATACCAGAACTGACAAGGGTCGACAAAACTGTTCAAAGTTCATCTCTAACTGAGGGCAGTAAAACCCTGGGCTGAGCTGACAAGTCAACTCAGTGCTGCTGTCCCTCCAGGGAGACGTGGCCACGTCCTCAAGCCATCGACGGAAATTTAAGAGACATTTGACTAGAGAAGCCACAGTGGCCGTCGTTGTTGACTCCGTGTCTCCCCAAACTGAGTTCTTCTGTTCCTCTTCCTTCTGGAATTAGCGCACTGCAAGCTGCCCAGCCATTGGCAGCTGAGGAACAGCTCCACTGAAGAGGACACGCACATCAGCTATGTGGAGCTTCTCAGAATGAAAATTGCCAACAGCCCCCAACATCAAACAGAACCACTCTAGGTTTCCAGCTTGAAAGTACGTTGGGGGAGGGAGGGGAAGGAAGGTGGGAGAAGACCAGAGAGGCAAGCTCCAAATACTAGGAAATACCCTCACCAAAAGAACACTTTTTTTCTTTACTCCTTGCCATTGAACAGAAAGGAACCCAATGAAGTTTTGAATTATATCAAGCCATTTAATTTTTCTCTTTTCTAATTAATCTATCTTCTTAAATAGTTGACACTTAGAAATTATTTAAACATATTTTTGCCAAATAGTCCTTAAACTTAAAATTTTATAGCGCCTTTATCAGAACTATCCCTTTTCCCACTCAGAGTGCAACAGCTGCTTACTGACAGTGGTGACTCTTCTGGTAGAGAGGCAAGAGTGAGCTGGGACAGTCCCTCATCCTCGGGCACACAATCCAGCTGGCGTGACTCTTGTATAGCCCCTCTTCACAGACAGATATGCCAATGGGAAAATCTACAACAATCTAACAATCAGGTTAGATTCTGCTTTGCTGGAAGCTACGCTTGTTTATTGTCAGGGAAGAGAAAGACCAAAAACACAAAGTCTCTACGTAGCCGAGATTTCAGGTAACATTAAAACCACTTTAAGAGGAAGGAGAGAATTTCCCTAACTAGACAGAAGAGGTCAGACACCATGGCATGAAAAGTCAACAGACTGGAAGCCTCTTGGTTAAAATCAGCAAGCACTCTTTCACCTTCCACTTACCTATCTTTTATAAAGCAAAGCAAGCTGGACTCCCTAAGTCGATACCCTCAGATACTCTACTTTATCATCTTTGCGAGACAACAGCACACTGCCTGACAGATGCTGACAGGAGATATAAAGCCAACAATTCAAAGTACATTTCACAGATAGTGCTAGAGAGGTTTCCAATGTCAGCATGTCATTCTTCCTCTGAACTTGAAAGCTGGGTACTAACAAAGGGGCACATCTGAGGGTTACCAGCAGGCAACTACCTGGAGCCACAAGGACTGCAACTTAGGCAAAATGTTCTGGTAGGCAGGCTTGGTGGCTCACGCCTATAACCCCAGCAAATGGGGAGGCCAAGGCAGAGGATCACTTGAGCCCAGGAGTTCAAGACCAGCCCGGGCAACATGGTGAGACACCTCTCTACAAAAAATTTTAAAAATTATCTGGGCGTGGTGGCACATGCCTGTAGTCCCAGCTATTTAGGAGGCTGAGGCAGGAGGATCATGTGAGTCCAGGAATTTGAGGCTGCAGTGAGCTATGATTGTGCTACTGCACTCTAGTCCAGGCAACAGAGGAAGACTATATCTCAAAAAAAAAAAAATTCTGGTAAAATCTATATAAAAAAAAGAAACAAACAAACAAAAGTCTATGACAAAGATGCCTATTTGTGTTGCACTTAATTATTTTTAACCTGACAGTCAGCCTGGTAGAAAATGCTCTGATAACGCCAGAGTGGACGCAGCCCAAGGGGGACACGCTCTACTCAAAGGCTAAGGGGAGGGGGCTGTGGCACCCACGAAAACAGACCACAAAATGCCGTTTCTCCTCTGCCAAAGGGAACACATTTCATTTGCTGATGCTTGTTCCTGGACACTAAGGCCTCCCTACCTCTGAGTCACCAGGAAGAGGACCGTCGGAACAACGGCCCCCGGAGGCACTCTAGCCTCTTCCACCCCTTTCTGTAGTTACCACCTCGGTGGGCTCAGAGTTTGCTCAGCCCCACATCTCCATCGTGTTGCACGATGCCCCTGTTCCCTTCACGTCCAGAAAGGGGCCGGGCCCTCCAGCAGTCCTCTAAATAAGGGACCAGCTGGGCCACACAGAGCCCCCACTCACTTGACGTGATGTACTCCGGAGCTTTTCCAGGGCTCAGGGGCACAGCTTCCTCGTAATAACCTTCTGGGAGGGAGGATGTCGGTAATGGTGGAGGCCCACTGTCAGGAGGCTGCGGGAGGGAAAAAAGGAAAAACAACGCAGAAATTAGCATGACTGCTAGAGGGAAATTCTGTACTTCCAGTTAACAGGTTCGAGCCAGCATTTTCCTCTTTCCTTTGAAATGTCTATGGCAATAAAGAATCTTGTCCTATAAAGAGGTTTGGAAGGCCGGTTCCCAATGTGTCTCTGCTACTTTCCTGCTTGCGTCCACCCAGCCCTGACCTGTGCCATCCAGGCCCGCCTACTTGCGGGGCTCCACAAGTGTGCAATGCGGCCTCACTCCTGCCTCACTCACTTCCCCTCCCAACACGGGACGGGGCCCTTCCCCGGGTCTGAGGGGGCTGCTGAGCTCATCTTCGCCCCCACAACACTCACCGCCACCGACCCTCCCAGACCTGACGCCGACTCTTCCCCACAGCCACGCCACTCGGGCCGTGAGCACCCGCAACCCAGCACTCTTCAGGTCTGCCTTGTGTTCCTCACAGAGAAAGCACTAGTCCACACTGCCTGAATTACTGAGTGAGGTTTGCCCACATTCTCACCATATTCCTAATATGTGCCAGGAAAACTTTTTAAAAAAGTGCATATCACCTAGGAGCCACTCTCTGACAGAAAGTGGAAGTTATTCTCTGCAGAGGGAATCTGCTCCTTACTGAAACCAATCGTATCACAGTCTCTTGACGAGCTCAGAGACTGAGGCACTCTCTGGTGGTGAAGTCAGAACCTCGGACTGTGGAAGGGCGGGGGGTTCGTTCCACACCCCAGGACGATCCAGATTCCACCTGGCCTTCAAGACTCAGCTGAAGTCCCCTTCTTGTCTTAAACTTTCCTGATGGCTCTAATCCACACCAACCTGTCCTTCCCACGAACACCTACAGGATTTGCTGGCCATGTCTTTCACTGGTCCTTCTGCTAACAGAGAAGGTCAACAATGGGAAGGAAAGTCGGCATCCGCCGAGCACCTGCTGTCTGCCTGGAGCCGCACTAGACGCTTCTGCACTGTCACGGGGGCATCACTCAATCCATGCAGGAATCCATCCGGGCACTTACTATACATTGCCTTATATTTTACAAACATAGTAAATGAGGCTCAGAATCTAAAACCACCTTCTCAAAATCAGACACTAGTATATGACAGAGATGGGGTTTTCAGACACCAGGCGTGCCTGCTAAACACATTCTGGTACTCACATTCTCTTTCCTTTTATCTGTTAACAGTGTGCAGCTATTTCACCTATCTATATTCTGTAAAACTGAGAAGAGGTATGTCACAGCGAACAGAACAAGGTCTACCAAGTTAAGGTTCCAAGTAGAACAACATTCCAATGAAATTACAGTTTGTTGGTTTGTTTGTTTGTTTTTTAATGTCGACTCTCTAGAACGTGAGCCTCCATCACTTTCCGTGTAACTCACCCATGAAGTCCTTTGTGGAAGGCTGATCACCCACAGCACATTCAACCCACTCCCTCCTCTCGCTCACTCGAGATCACCCGCACAACGCCCGTGTCCTGACGACAGCTCTCCCACTTCCACCCCAGTCCTATTCCCCAGGCTAAATAACTCCAACTCCTCCGCACTCCCAGCAGAAAGCTGATTTCCTGGACAGTCATCACTCTGTGGTCTAATTGCTGGACCATATCCAGGTCATTCGTATCTTCCTAAGAAGCAGTTCTTAAAATGGAACTTGATATACCCCGCTCGGCACCAGGAGAGGTTTGTAGCAGAGTCCACACCCAGGTTAAAACCTCTGCTAGTTGCTTTTAGAAAAGAGTGGTTTGATTCACTGAGTTTCTTTTATTCATGAAATGCAGGGTGTTCCAACTTCCTGTTAGTGTGGTGAAACAGTCAAATTATTCATGTCCCGCAGAAGCATTACAAATAGTTGAATCAAAGAAATGCTTGTTAAGTAGCACAAGTCAGCCTCCCTGCCTGAGGGCTGCGAGTAACACAAAGGTGTTGGGGCAAAGAGCTTACTCTCTAAAGGGATGGGATTTCTGTACAGATGCTTCCACACCCTATTGGTGGGTGTATATCTGGCACAACCTTTTGAGAGATATGCCCTTAGATGCAATAATTTCACTTGTAGAAATATATAGGCCAAGACGACCAATTGGGCACATGAGAAAAAAAGGTATAGGAATGTCCAATAAAAATTTATTTAGCAAAATCTAAAAACAATCTAAATGTTCATCAAGAGAGGAATGCTTAGATATATTATTACGTCCACAGACATTTAATAGGATAATGCATGTGTACATTTACTAAAAAAATCTCTACTAGATATTATTGAATAAAAGAAAACAGGTGTACTATGATTCGTTTACATAAAATCTGTGTGTTTCTGCTTATATACATACAAGGACAGTCATTTGCCAAAAATTTTAATAACGGGTACCTCTTTTTTAAATACATACCTAATAGCTTGAATTTTCTGCATGGTATTTATCACTTCTGAAATCATGAAAAAAAAATCAAACTATTTTCACTTTGAAATAATACCCCTCAAAAAATATTAATAATCTGCTAGAAACACTCTACTCTCAAATACCGTTTATCCTTGAAATCTGCCACATGGTTTCAGACACATACAGCTTGTTAAAGTCAAACAAGAGAGTCTGAAAAGAGGAACCCAAACTGTTATTCAGTGCCAGAGCTTTCAGGGGAAAAAATGTTTTCAGATCTTTTCCAATAGATAAGAATCCACTGAAATCAAAATTAACAGAAATTTTAAAAAGTATAAATAGGGAAGACAGGTTTTCAAAAGGGATCACAAGAAACCAGCAGACAGGCAGGAAATGAGTGTAAAATGAAAACAATGACAACTCGGACACACAGCGTGTGTCCCGTCTAGGTCCGGTGTGGCTCCTGGGCCTGTGCAACCTTCCCAGAGCTCTGAGCCCCAGTTTCCTCACCTGTAAATGACAGTGTTGCCTCATAACAATCTCCAGAATCTCCAATTCTAGTATTCTTATAAAGTCACAAGTCCAGGCCAGGTACGGTGGCTAACATCTGTAATCCCAGCACATTGGGAGGCCAAGACGAAAAGATCACTTAAGGCCGAAGTTTGAGACCAGCCCGGGCAACATAGTGAGACCCCATCTCTACAAAATATTAAAAAAATTAGCCGGGCATGGTGATGTGCACCTGTAGTCCCAGATATTCAGGAGGCTGAGGCAGGAGGATCACTTGAGCCCAGGAGTTCAAGTTTACAGTGAGCTATGATCACACCACTGCACTCTAACCTGGGTGACAGAGAAAGACCAAGTCTCAAATAAAATTACAGGTCAATAGACAATAAAGCCAACTTTACTTCTTTTAAAATATGAGTGAGAACTGACCTTGTGCCTTCACCAAAGGATAAACAACATGAGAATCTTTGGTCAGAGCAGGTCCTTCAAATGTACCCATTTTGACAGTGACATTACTTACCTACCTTAAGGTATTGCAACCTTCTTTAAGGTCTCCCTTCAGGTCTTATTAGAGAAAACCAGTATTTACAACAGCACAGTAATATGATTTATAGGCTTGGCTGGCTTACAATACTGACTATAATTTTAATTCTCATCTTTTGGGGCAAAAAAACCATTAGTATTTACCTTTGCCACTTTAAGAACAAGCTACACAGAGAATTCTTTTTCCGTTGGTAATAATAATAATAACAAGTTACTATGTTCATAGAATTGTGTGGTATAAACACAATAATAATAATTACCACTATTACTACAGGTAGAGTGTCCCTTATCTAAAATGCTTAGGACCAGAAGTGTTTCAGATCTAGGATTTTTTTGGATTTTGAAATATTTGCATTATAAACTTAACAGGTGGGCATCCCAAATCCAAAAATCCTAAATCAGAAATGCTCCAAAATCCAAAACTTCTTGAATGCCAACATGACGCTCAAAGGAAATGCTCATTTTGGATTTTCAGATTTGGGATACTCAACCTGATTTGCTGTTTGCCTACGATGTGCCAGATGTTGTCCTGGGATACTTTCTGTATGTATTTTCTCTCGTTCAGGAAATAACACTGAGATATCAGTATTTCAACTGTGACTTCACAAATGAGGAACCTACGGCTGAAGAGATTAAAGGCCCTAACTGGGGTCTATGCCTGCTCTCTGGTAGTGGAGAAGCCAGAAGTCAGCCAGAGTGGGTACTGCCTGCTGAGCGGGCTCACTACTGCCTCCCTCAGCACCTGACACGCAGGTGGCTGGGCGGAACAGGATGGAAGGAAGGAACTAACCAACCCACCAAGACTGCTTTCCATATCACACAGCACAACAGGACCCGTTTCTTAAGGAAGACTGGCCTTCCATGCTGTTACATCAGCACCAACGTCTCTGCACCTGCTGGCGCTCTTCTCACCTGGCACCCTGCCTCTCTGCTGCTGCCCACGGCTTCCCTCCTCCTACCCTGATTTATTACTCAGTCCTTTCCACAAGAAACGCCAATAAATTATGAGACCTGATCTGAGCCGAGAAAATTATAAGCCTAGAATTTGGACTCACTTTCCGACTTTAATTCTATACAAACAGTGATGCATCCAGATTCTGTTTTTCTGGTGACCATGATTAAAATCTGTTAAGAGTAACAGTCAAAAATTATATACTCTGAAATAAGAAAATTAGTGTTCAAGTTTTAATTCCATCACATTTCAGCAAAACCCTTTTCTAGCTGGCCCGAGTATTTCAGCAGCACTGCATGGCATTTGTGCCATAATCTAAAATTCCTGGGCTACAGCTCATTCTTTAAGAAGCTATCCGTGCTGCCGAGGGAAATGGATGATTGGATTAAAGTCATTTTCAGTAGATAATAATATTTTTATATTAATAGTTTAAACTGTAAAAATGGTTTCAATCCTAACACCAAGAATTTCGTACATACTCTTCTTGGCAAAATAAAAGACTTTATCCAAGTTACGCGCCATTCCATTCTGGTCACTATTTAATTTGCATTCCACGCAGCACTTGAGTAAACACTGGGAAAATAGTCACACATATTTTCTTAAGTT